GCCACAGTTAGGGATTTGTTGTCTCATGGGGAGATAGACAGTAAATAAAATCATATAATATGGTAGATGGTGTTAAGAGCTGTAGAGAAAAATGAATTGACAAGTGTGGTACAGGCTTGCAGGAGGAAAGAGATTACAGTTCATAATTAATAGAAGGTTTCTCTGGGACGGTGGCATGTGAGCAAAGACCTGCAGGAGGTGAGAGAAGACACCAGGTTGTCCGTGTCTTGGGCAGAGCGAATGTCAGGGAGGCAGGAGCATGCCTGGTTTGTTCGGGGGAAGCAAAGAGGCCAGTCAGTGAGGCCAGAGGGGAGAGAGAGTAAGAGAGGAAGTGTATGAAACAGAGTCAGAGGTGTATCAGGGTGAGAACGAGATCATGTATGGTCTTCCCATCCCTGATGAGAACTTTGACTTTCATTATGCAGAAGCAGGGAGGCCACTAGAAGACTTTACACAGCGAAATAATACAATCTGAATTATGTTTCATCAAGAGCATTTTGGTTGTTAAAAAGAGGATTTAAGTTAGAAGCTTGCTGCCAAGACTGTAGTTGACACAGGGGTGTTTTTTGTTTTGCAAAGGTGGGCAGTGGGGAAATGGTGAGGATCAGTAGCTTGCATTTAAGCATGTTAAAGACATCGAAGGAGAGTTGTCAACAGCCAGTTAGACACCCAAGTCTGTGGTTCTGGGCAGAGGTCTGGGCTGGAGTTCTAACTATGTGAGTTGTAAACATAAAGATGGTATTTATAGCCAAGAGACAGAATGAGATCAAGTAAGACAGTGAGTGTTGACAGAAAGGGGAAGACATGTAAGAAAGAAACCTGGAGTCACTCCAATGTTAAAGATTTGGGCCATGAGGAAGAATCAGCAAAGGAGACTGAGAAGTAGGGGCCAGAAAGGTAGGAGAAAAAACAGGTTCAGGCTTGAGAGGAGGAGTAAAGAGTCAACTGTGTCAAGTGCTGACTATGGGAAAATCAGGTGAGGACTGAAAACTGATTGCATCTGATGAGCTTGTTCAGCCTGTTAGTTGTTCCTTAATCTCACAGCTCACTCCTTCGAAACTCACCCAAACTTATTTTTTACATCACTCCCCACCCTACCCCCAGCGTACATATCCACTTCTTTGCTTCTTCTGACAGAAATCATGCAAGCATTCACCACCTGTTTCCTGGATCAAAGCAGCAAGAGACCCAAATGCCAGTCGTCCAATGCAGAAACCGCACAAAGGGAGAGGAATTAGAAGGAAAGCAAAGGCTGTGAATTTTGATAACTATATATTTTTAAAAATATTTTCGTGTTTGTTGACTAAAAATAACCATTCAAATGCACCAGCTATCAAAGAAATACAGATTAAAAATAAACTGGCCACCATTTTTTTTGCAAATCAAATTGGCATTTTAAAAAGCATATCCCGTATGGGCAAGACTTAGCAGACATTCCCAAATACCACTGGTGGAAGTGTTAATTGGTAAAACTTTTCTAGAGGGCAATTTGGCAATATATAAGAATAATTTTTTATAAGTTCCTTCTTCACATTTTTTGGTCCAGTAATTCTGCTTTTAGCAATTTATCCTATGGAAATAATCAGAATGTACACCAAAATTTCCATGAAAGGATGTTCACTTCTGTGTTGTTTCTTAAAGAATTTAGGATATAGAATTCTATAGGATTCTGTATTCTTATAGAATATTGAAACCTCTGTGTGGTTTGCTATAGAATCCATAGGACTAAAATGGCAATGAAAATAATTTAATATTTAACATTGAAAACTGAGTTAATAAATTATGAGTCACAAAAGAAATACTCTTCAGATAGAAGTATGTAAATGATATGAGAACATGTTAAAGTATTGTCAAAGTGAAAAAAAAAATCAAGCTATAAAATGGTACTTAAGATTCTGTTTTCATAAAGAAAGGATAGAAAAATTAGAAATATATCCACTAAAATCTTAATAATTATTTTCATGCACGTGTCTGGACATACTGAAGTTTTTAATTCATTCAGAAATATTTACCGAGAGCCTACCCTGTGGCAGGCACTGTCCTGGGTGCTTGGGACTCATCAGTGGAAACTGAGCATTGCTGACCTTGCAGTGCTTACATTTTATCAAGAAGGATACAGACTGTAGATAATAATATGAAGGGATTATATGTCTTTTAGAATGCTGTGCTAGAGGAAAAACACGGAATTGAAAAAGAAGGGTTGGGAGGGGTATGGGTGCAATTTAAAATAAGATGGTCAAGGTCGATCTCACTGAGAAGGTGGCATTGGACAAAAACTTTTTGGAGTTAAAGGAATTGACCATGTGAACACTGAGGAAAATGTATTCAAAGTAAAAGGATCAGCAAATGCGAAGGCCCTCACTTGGGAGCGTGCCTGATGTGTCTGCGGATCAGCAAACAGGCCTGTGCAGCGGGAGCTGAATGAACATGGTAGTAGGAAATAAGTCTAGAGAGCAACCAGGAGCCAGACTACAGGGAAGCTACGGCAAGGCTTTGGCTCTGTTGAGAATAGACAGGTAAGAAGCTATTGCAGTAATCTAGATGAGGGATGATGGCGTTGAGATAAAGAGGAAATAGTAAGTATAATAAAAATTTGTCTGATTCTGGATATATTTTGAAAATAGAACCAATAGAATTACTTGATGGTTTGGATACAGGAGATAAAGAAAGAGAGGCTTTCAAAGTTCTTGGCCTGAATGATGGAGAGGATAAAGTTGTTATCAGTTGAGACAGAAAAACGAATACAGCAGGTTTCGGGTGGTAACTGGGAGATCAGGACTTGAATTTCGCACATGGTAAATTTCTGCAAGGGGGGAACGTCCAGGAGGCAGCTGGTTAGGAAAATAAGAAGTTCAGAGGATATGTCTGTACTGGAGAGAGACACTTGGGAACTATTAGCCTATGGATGGTACTTGTAGTTAGGAAAACGGGTAAATGGCTGGGCATGGTGGCTTACACATGTAATCCCAGCACTTCTGGAGGCCAAGGCAGGCAGATCACCAGAGGCCAGGAGTTTGAGGCCAGCCTGGCCAACATGGCGAAACCCTGTCTCTATTAAAATTACACAAAATTAGCCAGGTGTCGTATCGCGTGCCTGTAATCCCAGCTACTAGGGAGGTTGAGACAGGAGAATCGCTTGAACCCAGGAGGTGCAGGTTGCAGTAAGATGAGATTGCATTACTGCATTCCAGCCTGGGTGACAGTGAGACTCCATCTCAAATAAAAGAAAAAAAGAAAAAAACAACATGAGTGAGCTCACCAAGGGAGTCAGCATAGAGAAGAGGTCCAAACACTGAGTCCCGGGACACTCCAACATCAGGGGCTTATGGAGACAAGTAACAGTGAAGTGGCTGCCGGTTGAGAAAGTGTCAGCAAGAGAGGAGAAAAGAGTGTTTCAAAAGCTGCCTGTATGTGAAATAAATTGAGAAGTGAGGGTTGATCACTGGAATTCACAGTGTGGAGGTCAGGGCACTAATGACCTTGAAAAGGGTGGTTTTGGAGAAATGGCTCCAGTGAGAAATGGAAGGGGGGAATTGGACACCTAAGTATAGACAACTCTTTTGAGGAATTTTGCTGCAAAGGGGCTTAGAGAGTTGGCCATGGCTGCCTGGGAAAGCGACATCTACAGAAGAATGGGTTTTGTTTTTGTTTCTGTTTTTCATTTCTAGATGGAATAAATAGCAGCATGTTGGCATACGATAGAAATCTGAGTCAAACCACTGTGATCATTAACATCCTCAAGTTAGTAAGATGGCAGCAGATGGTATGGTTGGAAGGTCACCCAAGGACTACCTGGACGACAAACATCTAGTTTGTTGGTCTGGTCTATTCTGCTGCTTAAAATTTGTAACTCTTTCATCTCTGCATTGCCTCAGGAGGTCACATTTAAAATATAATCGTTTAGGGTCAGGACAATCTCACAGATTGGTGATTATTAAGGTAAATACTCTTGCTCCCTCCCCCTGCCCCACCTGACATACATATATATATACACACCAAGAAGCCACTCACCCCCCATGGGAAAGCCTGCGGCTTAGAATCTCAGAACTGCAGATTCAACAAAACCACAAAATGCTCTGAATCTGTGCTAGGAAAATCTATTTTGCCACAAAAAATAGAAAGAAAAATCAGCCATTTGACCCTACTCTTCAAAGAGCTTAGTAACCCAGGAAACCAAAGTACCTCTTATTTGCTGTCCCTTCTCTATGATTATAAAGAGAAAAACCCAGAAATCAACTTTGGACCTCTCTGTATTGTAAGGCCCTGTATGCCTCAGACCAAAGTCAAACCTTAAATTTGAGGATCCACCCTGACTCCCTGCAGGACATGGCTGTGCTCCTCCCACACACGTAACATTCCAACACGATGATATCTGCTCTTTCTCCTTCCCATTCTCCTTCCTTCCTTCTTTCTTCTTATAAAAACCAGTTCTCAGAAAGGAATCCTAGAACCAATGGTGGTTTAAAACTGGCAGGAGCTTTTGTATCAGTTCCCATTTTACACATAAAGAAACTGAATCTCAGAGGGGTGAAATGTGCCCAGAAGCCAATCTCCCATTAAAAGTCCAAAAAGTTTGATCGATTCATTTATCAAGTGTACTGATTGCTATGTTCTCTGTCAAAGTCAAGTCCTAACAGAAGCCATTGCCCTGAGTCAAAGAGTGATGGTGAAAAATGGGAAGGGAGGACAGCAGGTAGTGGGGTGGGGGATGCTGTTGTTTTAGCAGCAGGACAGCGTTTTGGATGTTTGATATGCATCAACAGCTCCTTTCACCTGTCTCTGATTTATGAGTAGTGATTCTGAACCAGGGGTGATTTCGACCTGCAAGGGGACATTTGAAAAGTCTGGAGGGCATCTATGGTTGCCACAACTCTGGGGGGAAGATGTTACTGACGTTTAGTAGGTAGAAAACAGGAATTCTGCTAAACATTCTACAGTATACGGGACAGGTGCCTCGCCGCTCCCTCCTCCAACAATACACATATGACCCCAAATAACAATAGTTTTAAAAACTCTGGTTTACTCTGAAGTGAAAGGACGGGAGGGGAAAAGGACATTACCAAAAACTGGTTCTGGAGATGTGTTCCACATAGAGCTGTTCATCAGAAAAAGGGGCCAAGTGGATGTCACTGAATGTCAGGAACACCATTCCTAATGAGCAAAACACAACAGACCCAGAAGTCAACTTCCACTGCTTTCTGATTGAAGCTGTACTCACCTGCCACCTGAGACCAATTCCATTCATTTGCTTCAGTTATGACACGACAGGATAAAATATACTTTTATCTCAATGTAAGCATAAAAAATTAGGCAGAGGAGTGGAGGGGTTATAGAAAATAATATCAAAGCAAGTCACAAAGCTATACAGTGATAAACTTGCAGAGACTCAGGCAAGCTGTTTAACCTGGCAGTTGCCTTGTCACCCACTAGCTTTTTTCCTTTCTGTATGTCCTGCAAATTCTGGGTACATTCATTCATTCATTCATTTACGCATTCAACATCTTACTTATTGTAAAAATAATTTAGCTTTAAAAACCATCAAAATCCCATCCTCCCATCACATTATTTTTCTCATTCTCAGACTTCATACATAGAGAATCAGATCAACCACCTGTCTTTTTAGGTGCTGTTGGGATTTATGCTCACATGGACGCTTACCAATCTTCATGCTGGGAAATACACATGTGTGCTTAGTTCTTGGCATCCACAATCACCCCAGGAAAGGTAGATCCTTCAGTGGGGAAATAAGCACCTAGATTGGCATGCCTGAAGTAGGGCCTTTCTGAGTAGGCAGACCTGACAATCAGCATTGTTACTCTTGCAATTTTAGGGAAAATCTTTTTATAGCCATTAATTAAATTGTACGTGGAAGAAAGAGGAACTATTAACTATATTTCAGAAATAGAGCTGATTTAAGACACCAGAGAGGCTGTCATAAAAACAACAATAATAGCTAAAATTTCTCAGTTATGATAACCTTATCATGTACTTTCTCAAGGGGTTTCCATGCATTAATTTATTTAATTCTCATACCAACATACAGTGGGTTCTATTATTATACCCATTTTATAAGCAAGAAAACAGAGAAATGTAAGTGACTTGGTCAAGATCAAGAGCTAACAAGTAGTAGAGCAAAATCCAGGGATGGAATCTCATCTGATAGTCAGTGCACATCCTTAGACTACGTGGCTTTTCATAAACAAAACACATTATTTTATTTAGGGTATTTTCAGAAGCGACCAGGGTCAAAGCATGATTATAACCTCATTCATATGTCCCCATCTAAATCTCAGGCATTGGTATCAAAACAATAATGATTACTTGGTGGTTTTTCAATTTCAAGATGACAGATGGATATTAAATAACCTCAGAGAAGTAATATGTATCACTGCTTGTGTAAACTCAGGAAGCTTTAGAGGATGATGTTATGAGCCTCGACCTAATAGGAATTCCAAGAATGTCAGATAAAACGGAGGGGAGAAAATCAAAGGTAAAATATTTTGAAAATTCCAAGAGAAGAAGAAAATCGGCCTCCTGATTAAACATATTCACTGAATTTCCAGCACAAGAACTTAAAAAAGATTCACACTAGAACACTAGAAATAAAGAGAAGATACTAAAAGTATCTAGAGGGGAAAAGTATGTCACTCTAAAGGAGCAGAAGTCAGAATGGCAGTGGACTTCTCAATAGCAACATTTGCAAACAGAAACCAAACACAAAAAACAAAATACCAAACTTTAAAAATATTGAGTAAAAATTGTTTTTAAGTTAAATTCTTGACCAAATAATAATACAAGAAGTTGATAAAAGTAATTTCTTGGCTAGGCTAGGTGGCTCATGCCTGTAATCCCGGCACTTTGGGAGGCCAAGGTGGGTGGATCACTAGGTCAGGAGTTTGAGACCAGCCTGGTCAAGATGGTGAAACCCTGTCTCTACTGGAAATACAAAAATTAGCTCGGTGTGGTGGCACGTGCCTGTAATCCCAGCTACTCAGGAGGCTGAGGCAGGAGAATTGCTTAAACCTGGGAGACGGAGGTTGCAGTGAGCCGAGATTGCACCATTGCACTCCAGTCTGGGCAACAGAGCAAGACTCTGTCTCAGAACAACAGCAACAACAAAATGTAATTTCTCAAGCTCTTTTTCTCCAGAAGCTCGTAGAGAATATCCTTTGCTGAAATGATGTCGTAAACTAACAAAGAGGGAGACAAAAGAAGGATGATGGAAACTCAAAGTATGGCAGTCATGCAATAGGGCTGGAGAGCACCCAGTTCATGTTGCTAGAGAAGGCCAGAAGACTACTGAATGGAAGGGAGCAACAGAAGAATACATATTGATAGGCATCTGTCAGATCTATTGGAGCATGGAAACACTTAGCTATGAATCTATAAACACTAAGCTTATAAAAGAAACCAAGACAATTAACTCTGGGGAAAACAAAAGATTGTATGAGAAAACACATATAAGCATAGAGCATCTAACATACCACCTGACTCAGCACTCGACAATAGTTACATTGTAACACTGTAAACATCGATTCTTGATTTAACCAAATAATGATCTAGAGCTGTATTTCTTTATGCTAAATTCTGAGATCTGAAAAGCAACAGATTTTTCTAAGTTTGCAGCAGCATCATTTGATGGCAAAACCTAACCTGAACTGACACGAGAATTTATTTGTAATCCTTATTTATTCCACTTGGTATCAGTATTCACATGTTTTGTTGCAGGAATATAATGTGTTTCATTACAGAGTGTTACCTCGATCCCACTGGGAGAATTAAGTAATACATGGCATGTGATCGTATTAACTTTCGAAAGTCCTTCAGATTCTGAATTCTGAAGTATATCTGGCCCCAAGGGTTGGGATAAAGGACTGAGGACCTATCTAAACATATTGAGAGGATGGGGGCGGGGCAGGTACATCAGGAAGGAAGGGGCTGCTATTCAGGAAAGCTAAATTCTCAAGCAGAGAGTGACAAGAATAACAACCTAATCATCTTCGATAGGAATATGTGGGTAAATAATAGAAGAAACAACAGACAAAGTTGAAAGTGGTTGCCTTTGGGGAGCAGTCTGAGGATAGAAAGAGGTGTGCAGTAGGCTACTATTTTTCATTATAAGCCTTTTTATTATTAACTGATGTTTTAAACTATGTCTTATTTTGATGGAATATATAAATAATTAGAAAAAAATCAATCACTCTTCCCCGAGGAATACACAGGCTAGAAAGCCAATAAAATCAGTGCCCATTTCTACTTCCCTAAGGACATACAGCCCAGTATCAAATGTCATATCCATTTCAAATATCCGGGGGAAAAAGATACCCAGATATTATCTAAATACTCAGCTTAAGAGGGGCTCAGTTGATGCACATTAATGAACTACATTATAAATCTCATCATACAAAAGCTCCTAACCCTCTGAAAAAGTCCAGGAAAAACACTATAAAAATTCTTCCTGGGGGTGCTGAGGAGGAAACCCAAGCCACTTTGTACCCTGATTTTCATCTCCAATGGTTCAATTTTGTTGCATACACACAAGGCTTCCCAGAGCATCCCAAGATTGCTAATGAAGTTCCCGACATCAGGTGTCCTTTGCCTGAGCTTATTTATTTTTATACGAATTTTCTTTTGGTGCCTATTTCTGAATTTTGAAGCATGTAGGAAATTATAAATAAACTTCAAACTTCACTTATATGCATGCTGGTATCTATGAGTTGCATGGTTGTCCACTATTTTGTTTTCATTGAATCTTAAGGTAGGGAGCCACAACGTTGGTAATTTAAGTAAATAAAATTGGGGTAAGGAGCTGCAATTCTCCTGAGAGATGCAACTTCTAAAATTGGCCAGTTATCATCTATGCCTTAATTGAAAACACCCTCTGGTGGTAGGTGTCTACTTTCTCTGGTGAAGAGTGGAAACTTAGTGTGTGTGCGCAGAGGTCATGGGTGGAGGCTTCATTGTCAGATGGATGTAGGCTCCAGTTCTTGGCCTGCCAATTATTAGGTATTTGTTCTTGCCAAGTTACTTTTTCTCAAGTCTCAGTTTTCTCTTTATAAAATGGGATCATAACAATACCCGCCCCCCACCCCCTGCTAACCCAGGTCTCAATCATACACAATTGTCATTTTGGGCTAGATAATTCTTTGATGTAGGGCACTGTCCTATATACTGAAGGATGCTTCACAGCATCTCTGTCCCTGTTTACTAGATGCCAGTACCCCAGCCTCTGCTGCCACTGTGACAACCAAAAATGCCTTCTTCACACATTGTCAAATGTCCCCTGGGGAAGGTTGCAAAATTAGCTTCAAGGCTAATCCCTCAAATAAACTAAAAACCTTAATCAATCAGACTTTTTAAGGATTTTATAAAATAATTTATTGAAATTGCTTAGCACATGCAGTTGCTTGGAAAGCACAAAAAGCATATTGGATTTAATATTATCTTGACTATGTCTAGTGACCATAGACAGAGAGAGAAATACAGTAGGGAAAAATATGTCAAAAAGAACAAGTGGACCTCAGAGAGTTTCTCACATTATGAAGTCCAACACTTGAAAGGGCTTTAGAGATTATGTGTAATAGTGTCTTTGCAGATGAGGAAACCAAAGCCAAATGGTCAAGTGTTAGCCCAAGTTCATTAAGGAATGAAGGGATTGAACTAGGACAAAAAACACAGAACTCTGACCTGGCTGTCTATACCACGTAGAATACTGTGCAGCATACCTGAGTTCTTATGATTGGAGACTAGTTAATTTGTTATGGAAGAATGAGATTAGAAAATCAAACAATTGAGTATAATAGAAATGCTCTCTCCTCCTTTCTGTACAGAACCAGTTGTAGGGAAAACAGGTTGGCAAACTTTTACAGAGAATTTATCCTGGTTTTTAAACCAAGCGTGGGCCTACTTACCATTTGATTTTAGCTGTTTTTTGGAATGAAGATAACTCTCTAGCAACCTTTCACTGAACAGCACGTATCCCATTGGTTCGGAAATGATCACATGTACGGCCTCAGGAAGTGAGATGTCGTCAATTTTTTCCTGGCAAAACAATGATCTTGTCTGAAAGACGATTGTTTTTCACTGGCATCTGAAAAAGATAAAACAGGGTGCCAGAAATGTTGTTATTCAGAATCTTATGAAAAATGAGTTTTATAGATTAAGGGTTGAGAATGTGACAGGAAGGAGAAAGAAGTAACACTTGTTTCTATAAACACTTCTAAAGAAAAATTATTTATTTTTCTTATTACACAAAAATTGCATGTTTAATATAGATAATTTTGGAAAAGATACGATATAAAACAAATAAAAACACCTATAATCCTACTAGATAGAAATAATTATTAATATTTTAATGTACTCATTTCTAGACTCTTTACACAAACATACACATATATGTGTAAAAATGGCAGTATGTGTAGTCTGTGTGTGTATATACATACAAATATATATTTGGGGTGACTTTTAAAACTCATGGATTCAGTTTATTTCCCATTGTTCTACTTGCAATAGAGATGTCAAACAATTCTGTACAATAACCTTCCACAGATTAAAAATCTTTTCTGTTTTGCTTGGTTTTGAGATAGGGTCTCACTTTGTAGCCCAGGCTGGAGGGCAGTGGTGTGACCATGGCTCACTGCAGCCTCAACCTCCTGGGCCTGAGTGATCCTCCGCACCTCAGCCTCCCAAAGTGCTGGGATTATAGGTGTGAGCCACTGCACCCAGGCCAATGATCTTGATCCTTATTAAATTTTTCCTTGGTCTTTTGATGTCAAAGATAAATACCATGATTACTGAGCTTTCTTTAGGAGTACATTTTTACAGTCATGTATTAATTTTCTTTGACATCCTTGATATTTTAATAAATTTAAACTGTTTTAAAATAGGGACCCTGAAGAGAAATACATTTATTATGTTTCTAATGTATTTCTTCTGAATGCCAAATGTGACTAGGTGATTGAATTATTCTATGTCTTTCTTCTGCCTGAAAACATATTTTCTAATAAACATCTTACATATGCCAGCATAAATATATACAGCACATTCCTTTTCAAGTTGTTCCTTTTTGAGACTTGCAGATCTTTGCTCATGGTATTTATAGCCTGTCAGAGTCCTTCCATTTTGTATGTTTGGAGCTTAATCCCTTTGCCCAACCTAAATGCAATGTACCATGCACTTGTTATGATTCAGTGGCACCTTCTCAATTTCTGATCACTTCTTCAAATGGCTAGGAAACTTATAACATTTAATCCTATCTTCTAGAGTGCTGCTCACCAACACATGCCCTGTTAGCATACAAAATGTCTTTCTTACTTTGTTTTTTAAAATCAGATAATCTCTGATCTCTGGAAGAATAATGAAAGCAATTTGAACATGTCATCCAATGTCAATATTCATCCATGCCCAACAACTCTTAGACTTTTAGAATGCTATTCTATCATCATTCCACACACAGAAGTCAAGTCCCTGGGAGTTCTGCAGAGACAAGGACTATAGGTTTGAGCTTTTGGCTTCCTGATTTTCTCTCTATGCTCTTCCCAGGAGAATCAATTCTCCTGCCCAGCTCTGACTGTGGCTCCACTGCGAATGACTGTCCAAGCTACACCTTTAGTTTTGTCCTCTCAGCTGAGTTCCAACAATAAACTGAACATTTTCATGAGTGAATTTTGTCAATTTCTAAATAACAACTAAACAGCAAAACTCAGCTGCTTCTTGAACACAAATCATTTCTCTGAGTTTGCCCTTAAAATCTTTGTGAGATACTGTGTTTCCATGATTCTGTTTTGGTTGTTAATACCACAATCCCCAATGTCCTGGAGGTAATACTTAGTTCCCACAGGTAATTAGTTATTATATTTTCTTATTTCTACCTTTCAGACATATTTACTTTCTACTTTCTTCTGCCAGCACCAACTTGTTCTGTTCCTATTATCTTCAAATATGGAATTCAAAATGACATTGATATAATGAAAACAATGATGGCAGAGACTACTTCATGGGTTTGTTTGAGGATCATACCAAATAAAACATATTAAGAGCTATGTAAGCATTAAAATTATTATGTTATTTTTATTAAAAAATATTTTTGGCTGGGTCCGGTGGATCACACCTGTAATCCCAGCATTATGGGAGGCTGAGGTAAGCAGATCACTTGAGGTTCAGGAGTTTGAGACCAGCCTGGCCAACATAGTGAAACTCATCTCTACTAAAAATACAAAAAAAGTTAGTCAGACATGGAAGCACACGCCTGAAATGTCAGCTACTGAGGAGGCTGAGGTGGGAGGATCCCTTGAACTAAGGGAAAGGAGGTTGTAGTGAGCTGAGATTGTGCCACTGTACTCCAGTCTGGGTGACAGAGTGAGAGTCTATCTCAAATATATATATGTGTATATATATATATACAAATATATATATATGCCTTTATATACATATACATATATATATACTTTTCACTTAAAAAGATAAATGCAAATAAACAAAACCATAAAAATTACTAGTATTCCATATGTAGGCAAGGTAGATTTTCAATCAGACATTGGAGTATATCTCAGATCTTAATGTAATAATAACTTGTAATTTTTTTCCCTGCAATACATTTTAGATCAGTTTTCTGAACATTTTTATATCATGGCACACATTTTTAAAAAAACAAATAATTTTATGGTATACTTGGGTAAAAGAAGAACCTGCTTGCATTTTTTTTTGAGATAGAGTCTTGCTCTGTCAGGCTGGAGTGCAATGGCATAGTCTTGACTCACTCCAACCTCCGCTTCCTAGGTTCAAGCGATTCTCCTACCTCAGCCTCACAAGTAGCTGGAATGACAGGCACCTGCCATCGCATCCAGCACATTTTTGTATTTTCAGTAGAGACAAGGTTTCACCATGTTGGCCAGACTGGTCTCAAACTCCTGATCTTGTGATCCCCCCCTCCGTTGGCCTCCCAAAGTGCTGGTATTACAGGTGTGAGCCACTACACCTGGCATTTTGAGACATTTGAATGAAGGACTCTGGTCACAGTAGACCCTGACTACCTGCCATAAGGGCAAAGGATATCAAAATTTCAGTACCTGGCATACTTGTTGGGAAGCTCTGTTTTATACATCTTTCCATGAATGGTTCTATAACATAAATTTATTGGCTATACAGCATTTCATAAATGTGTATTGATTGATTTATTTGATATCTCCTATAATTGGATATTCAAGTTATTTCAAATTTCTACTAAAATAGTGTATTGACAAATAATAACGCAATTAAATCTGAAAAGGTACTTTCTGCTATTTCCTTTAAAGTTAAAGGGTATAAAACTGGTAAAGGTTTTTGATATACACTATCCCACTTCTTACCAGAAAGGTGGTCCCCTTTCTAAATTTCAAGCCCTCTCTAAATTCTGCTTATAGGGTCTACGGCTGTCCAGATAACCTCAATTGCTTCTTTCTACAGACTCATTAACTCAGAACAGGATGCTGGAAGGGGACCTGTTCTCTAAGTTTTGCTGGAGGGCGCAATATAATAAGATATTCCCCTGAATATCTGTGATGTAGGCCTTATATGCAGAATTTAGAGAGGATACTCCTAGACTCTTGAATCTTCAGGGACAGAAGAGATGTAATAAGGTTTCAGAGCGAGGATTTTGTGAGCTTTCAGAAGTACAATTTTGGGTACACAGGAAATAATTTTAGGTCTCATTATTCTCACTGGTAAAAAATAATATATCACATGACTGGAAGGGAACAAATAGGCCTGCCTTCAGGCCACTGCATCTTGTGACTTAATCTAGTTTTGATCAGTTTCACACAAGATCGGGAATCTAGAGATTAAAATTCCAGCTCTACTTTTATCACCAAAGAGCTATGTGACCTTGGGGAAGTCACTTAAAGCATCTAAATTTTAGTTTTCCTTCTTGTAAAATTGGGGCTTAAAACTGGAGTTGTCTTGAGGCTTCTTCTAGTTTGAATATTTTATGATTAGGAGAAAGCAAAATTTCTCCAAATATGTTCCAGGAGTCCATGAACACAAGAGCTTCATGATCAAATAACTTAGAACTTCTTTGTAATATATATCCCTCTTACAAATTCAGAGTACGTTAGCATATTAATAGCTTTGAGGAATTCTACAGAAAACTCTTGGCTTGGTTAAATTGAAGACATCCAAACTTATTTGAATCCTCTGCAGTATTTCCCCCCCCACTGGATATATATGCATCTCCCTAGATCAATCTTCAGGAAACAATGAAGATAATTATTTGATTATCCTAGGTTTGATTACAATTCCTTGACAAAGATATTTGAAAATAGGACATAAATTCAACCAGCAGTAGCTCTGACTAATATATTAGGGCCGCTAAGTCTACACGCATGACTGTTTTTTGAGTCAGTCTTGCTGCCTCACTTCTTCTTTAGTTCATAACATTCTCAGTATAGGTTATCTTTTGCTTGTCTGTCATTTCATACGCCATCCTTCCAAAACTGCAACTCAGGAGAAATATCCTTTCCAGGAATAAATGAACTTCACTATACCCCTACAAGTGCTAGAAAAGTCCCCTAACACAGAGCAAGGTTCCATCATCCACCACATTAATTGCTGCACAGGTCTACCCTGTGTGACCTGGTCCTTTTCTAAGAGCCCAGGATGGAGGGATATTCCAAATAAAGGCTGTTCTCAGACATCATCAAGGCCCAAGCAAGCTCACATCATACTCTTGCTTTAATCCTGTTTCTCTGTTATTAAATTGGGTTTCTAACGTGTATGTCAATAGTACTGTCATTTGTATTCACTGCTTAGAACACATACATACACATGTACATGCATACTTTAGATGGTAGCAGCAGTAGAATTCATCCTTTTAAATACCAGGGTAAGTTCCAAGGTAGATCAAGGCAGTAATTCCACCTGGTATGCTGCTGTTCTTGTCTCATTTAGGAGGGTTTTCAGTAAGTTACATGTGCTACAGATGTGTTGTTTGTTTATTCCTGTTCAGTTCAGAAGCTGAATTAGTCTTAGAGGCTGTACTATACAATATAGCAACTATTTATAGTCTGTCTCAAAGCATGGAAAAAGCAAACATTTTGGAGGTGAAAGACTTGGTTGCTAGTTTTGGATCCTCCATTTACTAGCTGTGGACTGTGGCCAAAATGTATAATTTCCTGGGAGTGCATTTCTTTACCTATAGAATAGGAATCATAATAGTACCTATTCTTCAGTGTTATTTCAAGGATCAAATCAAGTGAGAAAGTGCAAAGGAATATATAAGTCAAAGAATATAGA